ATTGATTTCAGTTATATTGTTGTTGTTTAGGGCCAACTCTGTCAGCTCTGGCAGATTTGAAAACGTACCAGGCTTTATGTCAGTGATCCGGTTGGAGTTTAGGAACAACTTTCGGAGTTTTGGTAGATTTGAGAATGTAGTAGACTTAATGTCTGTTATGCGGTTGAAGTCTACGGAGAAATCTGTGAGCTTTGGTAGATTCAAGATGGTATCAGGCTTAAAGTCAGTTATCAGATTGGAGCTTATGGTCAAATATACGAGATTTGTCAAATTTGAGAACATACCAGGATGAGTGCCTGCTATCTTGTTGACATCTAGGAACAAATGGCTTAGATTTGGTAGATTTGAGAATGTGTCAGGCTTTATGTCAGTGACCAGGTTGGTGGTTAGCGACAACTTTGTGAGCTTTGGTAGACTTGAGAATGCACCAGACTGAATGTCAGTTATCTGGTTGTATTTTAGAAACAATCGTTTCAGGTTTTTGTACCTTATAAACACTAACTGACTTAAAGATGTTATCAAATTATCATTCATATTTAACAGAGATATGGATATTGGCAGGTCCTGATGGATGTGTTTGAGGCCCATTCCCATGCATATGCAGGAAAGGCGTGAGCACTTAGCCCTGCAGCCAGCTTCCGGCATGTTGGGCTCCTTCAGGATAACGAGAAGGAAGATCAGCACGTGTCGCAGATTTCTTCCCATGTTGGTTTGTCCCGTTTAAGAAATTAAAGACTGGAACCAAAAAGGCCAAAGTAAGAATTCAGAGGTATGCGTACATGTAAGTAAAGCATCATTAGCTGTGGATGTATGACAGCAATAACACATTGATACTAGAAGTGCACATGTGTGGCCGGCATTATAATATATATCCCTTGGAAGGGCGTGGCTGTAGCACGCGGTATACATGTATACTCCCTGCGATAGCTATCACCTCTTTTTTTAATTAACTCCGGTCCCCGGTTCAGCATTTATGTTGCGCCGGGGAACGCTTAGCACAGACCACACTCTGTCACGCCGGCCTGCTGCCGCTCCACAAATTTACCCTTCTTCCACCCACCCGACTTCTTGTATCTAATTTTCGCTCTCCCCTGTTCGCTCTTACATGTTAATGAAGTGTCTTATCGTGTTAATCGATTGAACAAATGTGTAGAAAAGTACCTTATAGGTGAAACCTTTGTAAATGTGTAAATAAGTTAGCTTTACAGTTTATGTGTAGAGTAGTTGACTTGTGTGTGTGTGTGTGTGGTAGAACCTTTTTTCTTGTGTAAATAAATTCTCAGTGTTTGAAACTGTTGACAGTGTGATATACCGGCTTTATACAATGGAAGGGTGTGGCTGTTATAAGGAGGCGTGTGGTATATATATGCCCTCTCATGTGTACAGAAAATGAAGAATCTTATTTTTGAAATTGATTCAATCTTACCTCTCAATGATAGGCTAATCGGGGTGTCGTCAGTTGGTCGCTGCCTTGTCAGGTTTGAAATTGTAGCGTGCTTGTAGAGCACGTCTTCTGTGTGGGTCTGCCGCAGTGATCTGCGATAAACAACTCTAAATCAGTCTCGATTTATAATTATGTAAACCCTGTTTTTAAATATTTACATTGAGCTAGTTGTTTACTCTCCATTGATGCATTTTGCATAGTTTGAGAGGTTTCTGAATAGGAGATGTAAGATGTCCTCCCTGGCTAATTTGGCATTTTAACTTTCCATCGTTTTCTCACAAAGAAATTTAGAAAGAACTGTAGTTGTACTGAATATTGATACCTGGGTACAAAAGTGTGAATATGATTTTATGGACCATATGGATGGCGTCATCATATTTTTTTGCCGGAAATGTAATTATATTCAAAGTTATAATGTAGCACTTTGGTACAAGTAACTGAAATAAAAGTATGACTAAAGTTCTTTCTAAATTTCTTTGTGAGAAAACGATGGAAAGTTAAAATGCCAAATTAGCCAGGGAGGACACCTTGTAACAAATACGCCTCGAGAAGACAAAATTGTTGTGGCTATTGGTCATTGAGATGATTTTATTATACTTTTTTATACATACTCGGGGTGTCGTGGCATCAACTCTTCCAGGGTAAGTTAGGTTGAGCACTAAATACTTAGGTGGTTTTTTTAGTTAAAAAAAAGCGCAATTCTGCTTATACGCATGCGTGTCAAAATGTATGCAATGAGTATTGATTTTTTTTTCGTTATTTTTTCTGTAGATTGCATTGAAATACACTATAGTCAAAATACCATAGTGCCATAATATGATATTAAGTTGATATGAACCTCCCTCACATTGGGCTGCTTTACACTCGCTCTCGCTGGATTAAAGTAAAGTGGCAAAAGCAGAAAATCTACTCAAGCCAAGATCGGATGACGCGGGTGATTCAAGGTGCAAATAGTCAGAACTTTAGTATAGCATTTTCAGCAGCAATATGGCCTTTCGATTACTGTGCAAGTGCTTGTTTAAGGCGAATTTTAGGTGAAAAAATACGCTACGTCATTATCTGGCAACTTTGGGGATTTGACGATTTTATAAGCTTCTAGGTATAGCGACCACTGAAATTCGGTTAAAAGCCATCGACAGTGTGATTATGCTTAGGTCACATTTCTAAACTGGGGCCCGGCCGGGCTGTTTGTATGAACGAAAAATTAACAATTCATATCAAGAATATACAAAAATAGTGTCCATAATCATTATTAAAAACCCTTTGTTATGTTATCTTTTACGTCGTACTTTTCGTTCCCAAAAGCTACCCGACCGGGCCCCGTGTGGGCAATGTGACCTAAGTATAATGCTGAGGTCACATTTCCTAAGTGGGGCCCGGCCGGGCAGTCTTATGGAACGAAAAGTATAATATAAAAGACAATAAAAAATGCAACAAATTGATAATGGTAACTATGTGCGTATATTATTGATACAAAGTGTTGATTTTTCGTTAATGGAAACATCCCGGCCGGGGCCCGGTTCGGAAATGTGACCTCAGCATTACGCCTTGAAAGGGTGTGGCCGTACGAGGCATGTGGTATACACATCCTTGAGGTCTACTGAAAACGAAGAATCTTATCTTTGAAATTAATTTAGTCTTACCTTTCAATGAGAGGGTAGTCAGCAAATTTTCAGTTGGTCGACGTCAGGAGGTGTAAAATAAGGACGTTTCGGTCCGTTGTAGGTGTGCTTGTATAACACGTCCTCTGTGGAGCTTTGCCGCAGTGGTGTGAGATAAACAACTCTAAATTAGTCTGGCTTAAAGTTATATTTATTTATTACAACTTTGTCACAAGGACAGGGCATGGGAAACAGGCCGATGCCTTTTCAAGGCCCCCTGTCCCGATAAAACATACATAAATCTAAAATACAAATAATAACAAATACAAATAATCACTAACAATATTCTAAGGTAAGTTAGTTATAAAACAAAAACAAATGTGATAACTACGATAACATAGGTAGAAATAATACTAGAAACAGTAATAATAATAGTAATGGTAGCAGTAGAAAAATATAAAAGAGATTTAACAACAAAGGGTGCACCAACTATAGATGTTTTGCGGATCAAAAGAGTTTAACAGGAGGTGTTGGTAGTGGTTGTGTACGGAATTTTTAAAAGTAACAAAGGATACGTTCGGACATGACTTCACGGATCTGGTGGTGACAAGTATAGCGAGTTCCAAATATGTACTATTCTTTGAATATATTACATATTGATTATGTAAACCCTGCGTTTTAAATATTCACAATGGGCGAGTTGTTTACTCTCTGTTCTTTTCTTTCGCTTGAATCCGGAGATTTCTGAATAAGACATTTATAACAACGAGATTAAAGAGGTCAAAAACAGTGTGACTTCATGCGTAGGTAGCTCGCGTTAGCAAAGAAAGACGCCATTCTGCATTATATATATTTGCATTCGTATCAAAACATATGCAATGACTGAATGAGTATACATTTTTTCTTCATGAATTTGTTTATACATCTACTTGGAGGTTAGGGAGAAAATGCTTTTTTTTCGAGTGGGGAGGAAATATCTTGTACGTCACAGTGAGGTTATCCGATATTTTCTAATATAACACAAGAAAATTACGAATCAGATCGCCCAACGGTCTGAAATAATATATGTAAAGTTGGGTACTTTTACACCAATACCACTAAATACGCATCCGGTTCATATTGGCAAACATACAGATATGCATTTTGCATGTTTACATAGTACGTATCAAAGCGTGTGTAATGTGCACTATTTTCTCTTTAAAAATTTATTTACTCATTTACTATTCAATTATATGATTTGATGTCACATTTCTGACAATGTTTATTTCTAAATTGTCTGCTCGATATGCCATATTTTAAACATTTTATTCCTTTGAACTGTGTATAGGCTTTTGTAAATGTTATATTCATATTGTTTTTCATCATTTTAATTTTTTACACATTTTCCAGCTGTCAACAGATTTTCCGGTGACACATATAATACAAAAAATCCGTGTACAATTATTTGACATTAATAATAATCAGATTGTTATTCAGTAGAGTGGAACTCGCTATCATCAAGTACAGTAGGGACATTATCATTACATAGCCCTAAACAATGTTTAGAGTTAGATGTTCAAGGGTAAGGGGTAACAAGTCAAAGATTGGTCACAAGGTTTCTTCGTCTTCTGTAAGTGGCTAGTCCCATCATGAGTTTCGGGGATTTTGGTGACATCCAGTATTAGCCTCTTTCACTCCCTTCTGTATCTGGCCCTGTGAGAACACTCTGCCAATGAAATGCCCATCCAGTCACGATACACTGCACAAAATTCGTCCTTTACGCATACTTTAATGTGTGTGTAAAGGTTCCTTTTCTTCACGTGCACTATAACACAGACTTTAAGATGTGCTTAAATATAGGATTTCATGCAGTGAATGAATGGTATAAACTACAACAAAACGTTTTGTGTGTGTGTGTGTCATATTCTACAGGCATTACAAGCGTCCTCGCTGATTACTGGATGAAGATCTAAAAGATGATATCGGCCTGGGTATATCTCGTGGTCGCCGTCCTCGCAAGTACGTTTTTTGTTTTAGCATATTTACATTCTGCATTGGCAAAAATGTATTTTTCATTCCTTTGTTATTTCTAAAAAAACGGGAAAAGCGTGACTGATAAATAGGTGGGCGCCTTTTTTTTTAAATTAACAACCGACTACGTGGATCATTGACAAAATCATCATAATTTCTGTTGATAACATTGTGTGTGAAGATAATAACGGGAATTTAACAATTATCTCCAATTCATCGTACTGTCATTTAAATATCCATCTATGTTTTATTAAAGAGAAGACAAAAGACACAAGATCTGAGTTGTAAAAGCGCAACAGAAATGCGTACACGGCAACTTTTTTTTTTTAGGCACGTTAACTTTCTTTTAGAAAATATATAATAACAATTGCACACAAAACATCCTATATTAAGATTCTATAAGTCAACCAAGATCCTAGCTCGTAAATAATTTCATCAGCTTGCTGAGATGATTCAATAGCAAAGTTCCTTATTCACGAGCACTTGTTTAACAAAAGTGCAAGTCTCTATCAAATTAAATAAAATGTTTCTTTGACGGCCTGTCATCCATATCCGGGCAATTATGACTGCTTCACTGTGCACTGAATAGAAAAAAATACCTAGGTTCAGTGTACAGTGGAACAGTCATAATTCCCGTAATGAAGATGACAGACGGCCATCTAAATGATCGTATCTAGCTGGTCGAACGTAGTGAATAAAGAGCTATTTTATCTCTAAGTTGAGAGAACTCATGAAAAGATTAATAAAAACGACATCACTCTACTGTATCTAATTTTGAAAAAAATGTTTCTTACCTACAGTCATCATCACAGTGACTCTGAGTGGCTGTCTTCTCACTATCGCTGCCATCTGGACACGCCCAGTTCTGAAGAAGCTGGTCAACGTCCCTCTGGTCAGCCTCAGCTGTGCAGACGGCCTCTACTCCATCTTTGGCCCCGCCCTTTGGATCCCGGTTTTCCTGCACCCCCAATGGGAACCGCCAGGGGCGCTGTGTTGGTTTCAGGGATACCTGAATCCTGTTCTATGGGGGGTATCAGTAAGCCACATGATGTGTATCGCTCTCCAGCGTTACTTCATGGTGTGTACCAACAGCACACGTCTGAAGTCCAAAAGTGTCCTCTTTGGCATGCTTTTCCTCACATGGTTGGTCTCTATCATTGCATACTTACCTCTTCACATCATGGAAGAAGTAAAGCTCGACCCAAAGTTCAAACGATGCAGTCTGGGATCAACTCCTAACATTTTGGGAAAGTTTATCCCCATGTTTCTTACCATCATCATCCCGTACATAACGGCCCTCACTTGCTATGTTCTCATCTACAACCATGTGAGGAAGAGTAAGAAACGGGTCCAAAATAACGTCCTGCGCCCTTCTGACCGTTTGGCTGTGAAATACTCAAATGGGGAGGGGGGTAGCGCTGGGCCTTCTGTAAGCACTGTGTCTGCCAGGCTGCCGAATACTTCAACTAATCTGGATAATCGTGGTGTTTGGATGGGGGATGATAATTCATCATCAGGTGATGAGGAAGATCAAAGAAAAACCGATAATCAGCCAGGTAAACCCAAACAAATTATGGTTGCCTCAAAATCTTCGACTAACTTGAATGATGGTGGTGTTTGGATGGGGTATGATAATCCATCATCAAGTAATGACGGAAATGGAATTAAAGCCGACAACAAGCCAGGTCTGAACAAACACATAATGGTTGCTGCAAAGCCAGATCAGATCGGAACTAAAGAACAGAATCAGGTTGGTCAGGACAAAACAGATTCCTCATTGAACAACAAGAAACAAAATAGAGATGACTACAAAGAGCCAGGTAAACGTAAAGGTGCTTTACAAGTTACTACACTGGCAGGTACCGAGATAGTACAACCAAAGCAGCAAGGTCATGGAGGAAATGCTCCCCAAAACAATAAAGCGGAGAGGCAGATCACAAAAATGATGTTGACGTTGTTCGTTGTGTACACTGCCTGCTGCATGCCGGTGACGATTATGGTGTTAATCTCCAGTAAAGTCCCGTCTGAAGCCTTTCTTGTTGGCCAGGTACTGATGGCACTGAACGGTGCCCTGAACCCTATCGTGTACGGCCTGATGAACAAAAATATCCGACAGGGATACAAGCATATCTTGAGCAAGGTGGTCAGTTGCATAACTCGCGAACGGTAAGCTACAGACAGGCGTTTGTTGGCAATTCGCTACAAGAACAACAAAATAATTGACAACATTGAGTGAAACACAACATTCGATCTAGAAAGATATGAATTTGCGCGACAACAGGCCGGATGATCATATTTATGAATCGTAACGAACTTTACACCAAAACATGAAACCAAATGAACTCAACCTAGAAAGCATTGGGCTCCTTCGTTGGTAGTACAGTATTTTCTACTACTTTTCATACTCAAATATCGATATTTCTATCCATCGATGAATTTATAGATTTCAAGACAAATTATAAAGACAACAGATAATTCCGAGAAATCTTGTGTACTTGGTGTCAGGCTTTTGACAAGCTATAGAGTCACCACAGTAATATACACAGGAGAGGTGAAACATTACGCTTTCTATCAGTGTTTGGCTTCACATCATTTTGTAATACGACTTTACTACCACTGCTACTACTGTCAGTCAGTCTTATAAGACTTTGACTTAACTGCGCAAACAACAGAATGGGTCAGTTCCACGTTTTACAAATCAAATTTGAGCTTTAATCTTGCATAACACCAGCGTTAATATAACTCTGAGTCATGGGTACAGCCCAGAGCAAGAAACTTGACGATACAAGAAAATGTTTAGAACGATATCTACAACATATCACTGAGAAACTTTCTTAACAAACAAACAAACAAACAACTCTTTCCCATCCATTTCGTCAATAGTGTGACGACGCAGATTCACATGTTGTTCGTAGTAAGGAACCTGCTGGGAGAATAATTTAGTGGTTACTCACTACGAAAATGCAGATTTGGAGACGTTGGTCTCACAGGGTCTTCTCTGGTGCCCGCCATTAAGAACAAAGAATCTTTTTTTTAAAATATTTTTTGGACGTCTGTTTATTCAAATCATGGAAACAAGTATATATACATACACAAATACTTTTAACAAAAACTTTTACAGCCATATCCCCAAACTACACGGATGATGTCTAATCATGAAATCAAACAAGATGATGTCTAAATCATTTAGATACAACAGGTCTTTAGACTGCCACAGATATCACAGATGAAGTTTCTTGACATTGTTGTAGAATGAAGCTTAACTCTCTAAGTATGTACAATAAAGGTTTGTTTAATCCATACCCTATTAAAGCCCATATAAATACTCATGTTAATCATGTTCACTTAAAGAGTCTTAAGGAGACATTAATTTCAGATATTTTCAGATTCCAGTAATGTTATGAATACCAGAAACCTCTGTCTTTCTTTGATATTCAACATGCTAGGATACATACATCACATACAATCTAAAAACATAAACAATCATCATTACATCATTACATCAGCTGTCCAAGAACAAAGAATCTACTATACATTTACCGGAGTAGAAACATGTTATTCTGGGTGGAAGATTATGACAAAAACAAACTACCCAGAATTGTTTGAAATCTATGAAAGGTTTCAAATATGGTGCCGATTTTACGGTTTCCTGATCATAACGATGATATCGTTTGATTCAAAGAATACCTGAAGTAATTATTTGCAGCTACCCTTTCTTGCTTTGAAAGTCTGAGATTTTCCTGCCTTGAGTTGAACATGATCTGTGAATTCTAAACGCTTCAGCGGTAAAATTACAAATTATCTGCAAAATAAATTCGAATTTAGGCCGGACGAAACGCCCGAATATGATTTAGGTAAGCCCAGACAGGGATACTGTATCCGCGCGTCTTCCGACCGAAGTGACCAATCAGCACCCAAAAAAAACACGCGGTCGGGGATGAGTTTACCCGAAGTTTGTGGCCAGGGTCCCTGATTGTGGCACAGGAAATCTTTAGCTGGCTGGGCTCTGAATGTCAGCTTGGAACTATTACTTAAAGAGTCCCGGGTTCGAGTCCTGACATGCCACCGATCTTGTTCCTTTGGGGAAGGCACTTTACACGACTTTCCTCACTTAGCTCAGGTGTAAATGAGTATTGTCCTGTCGTGTATGTGTTCGTGGCGGCATTAATATAAGTTGAAAAAACTTGAGTGTGTCGTGATCACCACGTCTGGTGATTACATGTTGGAATAAAAAAAAAAAATATCAGCTTGTACCGAGTTTTCGTCACCTTGTACCGAGTTTTCTCATGTTTTTTTTCATCTGATAAAGGACCCATTCGTTTTCCCACCAAGAATAGAGTCGTTGTCAGTGATGGATCAGTTTATTTTATAATGTAAAAGCCGGGAAGGCAGGCATCAATTCATTTTCGTGGAAAAAGAAAATATACATGCACAGCGCACGGTACGTTATGTTATGGGGCCGAATTTTTTTTTTTTTTTGGTGCCAGGTGTGCGGATGAGAAATTATGAACTCATGATTGATAAACGGAAAAAAGTCAATTCAAAAGTAAACTAATGTTTAAAACTACCCTTTTCTTAGACAATTTGGGATCAACTTCGAAACTCTGCCATGTAAGTTTAGTGTGCAGAAGAAAAGCTTTATGAAGAAACAGCTACCTCATCACCATGCTATTGCAGAGGTCATCATTATCATAGTCTTTGGAATATACGGTGATACATGTATATAGTGTATAGTTACCATACGGAATTATACCGAGAAAGGTGTTTTGTCGTTGTTATTTTCGTTGTCATTACTGTTGCTAGTCTTGTGTCAGTCTGTGCAAATTATTATAACGGATGATTTGCCATAAATGTCATTTTAAAATATGTCAAAAGGAATGTGATGTTGCATATTAAGTACCGATGGAGAAGTAGTGTTTAACTTAATAGAAGTGATTGTTGATCTTTGTACAAGTTAGTGAGGTAGGTAATTTTTACTGGTTGATTCGGGTACGGGATACAATAATGCTGGCATCAATTCAGTTGTTAAAGTCTAGGTCACATACATAGTGCAATGCACTTACGACGATTCCATATGTGCATGTACGTCGTACGTTTTGGTAAGCGATGGATGCAGAACTATTGCATCCATTTATGATCCAACCTACATTATATACGGGGACATAATATTATTGTTGCGAAAAAAAAAATCACAAAAATCAGCCGTTCACCGATGCATATGACAGGGGTTTAAGCACAAAGCAGCGGAATTATCAAAACGGAAGTAAATGCAACCTTCCTTACTCAGTACATAAATATAATGCAAGTCAGTATGATGCAATATGTAAATCAAGTAAATGGTATAGTTATGTACAATAAAACATTTCGGATTGATATGATCGGAATGATATTTCGTGACATCAGCTCTTTAACTCAAAACACGATCAAAATAAAATGTATAGCTGTGACGTAGTTCATTCAGTGTTTTTCTTGGTATGGACATTATTATAAGTTTATTCATATTCTAGTCATTTGTGGCATTGAAGCTGTTGTACAGAGACCAAACGAATGGTTTTCAATGTTTAGCATAAAAATTGTTGAATGGTGGAAACAGTGAGAAGTCAAGTAAAACACTCTATATAGAAAATAGAAATACTGGCACCTGTTTGAATATTTTGCCTTTGTGCGTTCTGTTTGAATTGGTACAACTATGTTGGGATTTTTCCCAAGAGATTCTCTTCATAACATACATCTGCGGAGGAATCAGAACGACTTGGACGATTACCAAGAGCATGCCTTTGTCAGACTGCTGTTCCTCACGAGGACAGGTTCGCTGTCACCGAGGACAATGCTGTCAAACAAACCAGTGGAGACAAGAACACACAGCAATCTTACATGACATTGGACGTGACATTGTCAGCTGTTCCCCCAGTCCCCAGTTGGACGATTACCAACCGCTTGTCTTTGTCAGACTGCTGTTCCTCACGAGGATAGGTTCGCTGTCACCAAGGACAATGCTGTCACACAAACCAGTGGAGACGAGAACATACAGCAATCGTACATGACCTTGGACGTGACATTGTCAGCTGTCCCCCAGTTGAACTATTACCAACCACATGTCTTTATCTGGCTGCTGTTCCTCACGAGGACAGGTTTGCTGCCAACAAGGACAACGCTGTCAAACAAACAGGTGGAGACAAGAACACACAGCAATCTTACATGACTGTTCCCCCAGTTTCTTAATGAGACAATATCGAACCGTTGACTTTCAAGTTTTTGAAGGTATTGGGCCTAGTCGACCAGTGTGTTGGGCTGAGTTGGTAACGGTCCGAGTCGTTCGACACTCGTCTGTGTATAACATCAAGGCTCAGCCTGATAGATACTTCTAGACATCAGACAATACCACCGATTGTACATACCATATTGACTATTGCTTAAACATTTTTTGTGCTTGTGCTTGATGTACACTTTGTATGTGAAACGATAGTTTTTATGCACGACAGATCACGTGCTTGGGTTGAAATAAACTACCACTATTAAATTTAACAATTTGATGTTTTATCGTGTTTTATACCATTCGAGATAGTCGGCAAACATTTTGAACGGCTCTCTCACGACAAAGTAGATAAAAAGCAAAGAAAGGTCCATAATACTAGTACTCCAACAGGTATTATAGAATTTGAACTAAAATAGTAAGATGTTAGTTAACCTTCGCATGGCTTGCTTACCCATTTATGGGGGATGACTCTTATATTGCAGACTTTTATATATTACTACTGGCAGCTATAGAGTCGTATTAACGGGGGCTTTAAATTTTTTAGCCCGTATGTAAGGATAAAATTTAAAAATGATTCACTTCACACACTCTCACCTTGCAAACCTCTTGTCTCATGTCCGTGTACAGCGTAATTAAATTTTGTAAAATTTAATAGCGTCAGACAGTGCAGTTTAGACTCTTTTAATTATATGCGTGTTTGTCTGTCTCCCTCTTCGTCACAAAGATAACTAAACAACATCTAAATGGTTTGGTTTCCTATCTAATCTTTTGTGACAAAAAATTAAAGATATTTTCCATGTTAATGCAGTTCGCCTTCAACATGTACAACATTCTGATTTTGAAATGCATATTTTGTACATCATTAAACATCTTTTAAAATTGTTAAAACAACCTTTTACTAAGAGAACGGGGCA